GCCTCCGCTGCGGCATCGGACGAGTAGTCGCAGACGACGCCGTGCGGCGCGGAGGCGCAGAGGTCGTCGGGGAAGAGGGACCGCCACGGGACGTCCGGGTTGACCGACTCGAGCACGCGATAGACCGATTCCTGCTCGACCGGGTCGAGCGGCGGCTGTGAAAGAACGGCGATGGGCATGAAGGCGAGGACGGTGAAAGCAGTTAGAGAGAGAAAAAACTGTGTCATGGCCATGGGAGCTGTTGCAAGTTTGGAAGAGTGAAAATGGCATGAATTAATGGAGATAATAATGTGAGTTTATTCTTATTTATAGTGGTAAGAGGATGTTTGTTTGTTTGGTTTGAAAGCTGAAAAAGGGAGAAAATATGGAAAGGACAAATATGGTTTTGCAGAGATTTGCTGGGTTGTGTTTATGCTAACTTTTTGTGTAATTTTACGATTTTGTCCTCTGTGTGTCTGAGTTTATGCCGTTGTGCTTTTATGATAGGGTGGTGCAGTGTGTAGAGAGGATTAGAGTAGGAGCTGTTTTTGAGGTATTAATTTGCATGAAAAAAGGACTAATGAAAAGAAGAAATACACACCAGGGGCAAAGTAGTCTGTTTAAAGTTTACACAGTGGTACGTTGTTTTGCATGGGGAAAAGGGGAGCCAATGGGCAAAATCCTAAAATTGATCAGTCAATTCACATTTACCGCTTTTGTCCTTTACCTATGATTTAATCCCAGCGATTCCCTTATCTAACCATCATGCAATTAATTGCATAATTCTTCTACTTTGTCCTTTTCTTTTTTTATCAGACATAAAAAATTCAGTAAAACGCAACCTAATTAACAGAATAGCCTGAACTCCTATACACGCTACGTGCCGCGCCTTAAAACGCTTTAATAAGCTTGAAAAAATAGCATTGGAAAAGGACAACTGGGGAATAATAATAACAATAATAATAATATATAATACATAAATACCTGAATTTCATGTAGCAGAGTATATAACTATATACTATATATTTTTTTCTGAAAAAAAAACTATATACTATAATTTACTCCAACGAGATTGCTTTGTACTTCAAAATTATAAACATGCATATATTGTAATGTAATTTAGATTAACCGGTTAAAATATATACACGAGGTGTAGTAATCGGGCATCAATATCGATCAGTGTCCAAAAGAACCAAACAATAGGATTTTTTGTAAACAAAAAAAATTCAACACTACACAAGTGTTACAAATTATGTGGATAGTATACTATATACGAAACATTTATATGTGCTTTCTCAAAAAAAAATTACTACTTCCTATTCTTTTTAAATGTCATTTTGACTTTATCAACTATTAATCAAAATAAATATCGTTTTGGATCTTTTTTATATATTTTTCCATTATTACCCTCATTAAGTTAATAAATACACTACGTCTTTTCATATTCTCTTCATCTTTTTTTTTTTAAAACATTCATCTCTATCTTCATTAACGAGGGTTATTATTGGCAAAAAAATTATTCTTAATTAGTGTGCAACTTCCCAAAACGACACTTATTATGAATAGGAGGGAGTAGTAAATAAAATTTTGGTGAGAGCACTGATTTCATCGAGTTTTTTAACTATTGAATCAACATATATATATAACATTAAAAAACACAGTAAAAGCATTGTCTGCATGAGTATGATTGAAACTTTTGGCAAGTAGTTAGTCGTAATACACGTGAGATTGTTTCATTTTAGTCAGTCAAAAATCTAATTAAATTTACGAAAATAGACAAAAATAAAAGATAAAAATACCCATTTTATCCTTTCTCTTCTTTTAAATTTCACAAATACAATTTTAAAATTTAAAATAACATAATAAACAATACTACTTGATCGGTTAATTTTTAAAAATAAATAGAAACTTTTTAATATTTATCATCTGAAATATTGTTCTTTTTTTAAACTTTAACATATAAACTTTTTTTAACAAATCTGACAAATGAAGCTACTTTAAAGTTTCGCAAAGTTTCGTATGACAATAATTTTTATCCCAAAATAATTAATAATCACATATTTTAACCTGTCAATTAAACATTTTATTATATACATAAAAATTTAAATTCAATCATTCTATATAATTAAAAAAAACAATAAACTTTCTGTAATGAAGAAAATGAAATATTAAAAGAAAAATGGAAAAGAAAAACAACGTGGCTCTAGTAATCTACGTGCAGGCGTAGGGTATAAAAGACAAAAGCATCGGCGGAGCCGACAGGGCCAAAGCATCAGCCGCCGACTTGTCCCCACTGCTGTCCTTTTTGTACATTTCCCTCCAATAAGAAAGCGACGCATAACAAACCCAGAGCATCTCGCACACGTGGCGGGTTCCTATTGGCTGGTCCAAATGGACGTACGGCGTATCGTTTCACAGGTCATGCGAATACCATTTCCGGGTCTTATATTCCCCGTATACCTCTGTCCTACAAAACCCTCATACCCAATTTTACCGTTTTACCCCTTTACCCCCATCTGTTTTTCACTTTACCCTGTTTTAAAATTTTGTCTTGCAGGCTGTTGGGGGAATTTAATTTATTTCACTAAAAAGGGTACTGGTGAAGAGGGGACAAAAACTTTTCAACTAGGTGAAAATACAATGATGATTAATAAATTCGAAGTATATA